GACTTCTGTTCACCTCTTTTGCTCACTTCGAAGCAAAAGTTGCGACTCGCTCAGCTCATAGAAGATTACATGACAAAGGAACCTTATGAAAAATACTTCGATTCACCTCTTTCGTTGCTTCGAAGCAACCGTTGCGGCTCGGTCAGCTGATCAAAGATCACATGGCAAAGGAACATTCATAATGATATTTCTGTTCACTTTTTTTGCTCACTTCGAAGCAACCGTTGCGACCGGATCAGTTGATCGAAGATCACATGACAAAGGAACATTACTCATAAGATTACGTTTCACCTCTTTTGCTCACTTCGAAGCAACCGTTGCGACCGGATCAGTTGATCGAAGATCACATGACAAAGGAACATTACTCATAAGACTACGTTTCACCTCTTTTGCTCACTTCGAAGCGAATATTGTAACTCATTCAGCTCATAGAAGATCACATGGCGAACGAACCTTATACACGATACTTGTCTTCATCTCTTTTGCTCACTTCGAAGCAAACATTATAACTTGCTCAGCTAATCTAAGATCACATAGCAAAGGAACATTCATAACCAGACTTCTGTTCACCTCTTTTGCTCACTTCGAAGCAAACGTTGTGACTCGCTCAGCTCATAGAAGATTACATGACAAAGGAACCTTATGAAAAATACTTCGATTCACCTCTTTCGTTGCTTCGAAGCAACCGTTGTGGCTCGGCCAGCTCAGAGAAGATCATATGAGAAAAGAACATGACTCATACCGATCTGTTCGATTATGATATCGTTGTATGTTTGGTTTTTGGGGTTTGAGCAGATTTTGAAGACGCTTGAGTGTGTTTGATTAGATAGAAATTCGTGTTATCAGGTGTTGATGAGTTAGATTGTATGAGCCAGGTTTTTTATTGTTAGAAGGAAGATTTGGATGTGGGTACCTTAGACTGATTTTCTGTGGTTAGTCGTAGTTTCGAAATACAGTGGGTCCTAAAAGTCTCTTCCTAGAAGTTTTTTCGTTCCATTTCCCTGGTGACTGAGTTTCATTGACTAACTTTTTTTTGAATAATAGATAAATGCACAGCGTTTTTATTTCTAAAGACAAACTTCAAAAGCATTGTTGAAATTTAAGGCATTTAGCCAAAATACAAAAATTTAGTGTTTTCTTTTTCTAGAAAAGCATTAGATAGCATTTCTCATTTTAATAACTTCGAGTTGTTGAGTAATTCGAATCTGTAAATTGTCCAATATTGGAATGATCTTTTTACAGAATTTTTTTTCGGTATGTCTTTAGAAAAACAAAATGAATAGTTCCAAACCAGAATTCAAACAATTAAAACATATCATCCATACGTATTTCCGGAAAGAGAAAAGAGACTAAATTTTTGTATTTCGGCTAAATATCTTAACTTCCAACAATGTCTTTGAAGCATTTGTTTAGAAATAATAACTCCGTGCATTTATCTATTATCTAAAAAAGAATCAGTCAATGAAGTCCAGTCAATAGCGAAATGAAACAAAAAAACTTTTAATAAGAGACTATTAGGACACTGTAGAATTTGCATTCAATCAATAGTAAATGTAAATCAGGTTTATTCTCATATAAAGAAGATACCAAATAATGTAGATACGATTCAGTGAAGAAAATATCGAAACAGATGATATATTGGTATCACATGCACAGAATGAAAGGCAAACAAATGTCCTTACAAGAACAGATAAATATCCTTCATATTGTACAGGATTATCTGTGTATCATTAAATAGCTGCATACATACGAAATATATTTGATTAATCTGTGAAAAATTTCGGTGCTCATTTGAGCATAGCAAAGAGAAGACTATTATGATGGTGTCATTTCTTTAGTTCATTAATGAAATCGATAATTGATCAACATAAATACGATCATAGACCTGCTGATATACAGTCGCCGTTTATCTTTTAAAAAAATTTCTGAACGTTGATTTTTATTTATTCGTGTTTTCTGGAAATTCTAGACGGAAAAAAGGACTGCGTCGTTCTCATAAATGGAATCATTACATTGCTTATTCTTTGCATTAAGTAATGAAAGAAATTCTTCAAGAACATCAAGGAAACGAGCATGCTGGAGTCAATAAGAAAACATGTTTAAATGATAGTTTTACGACTTTTCTTGTCTTGGAAGAACTACTTGTTTATGAATGGATGAAAGAAAACTTGACGGAAATTAAGAATAAAAATGAACAAATATTTACAATCACTGGCCTGTCTAGAAAATTCCTGCAGGTACTGGACTGCAAGACGAGTTCTCTGTTCAGAATTTTGATCAACAATGACAAAGCATGGAAATATGTAAATGAGTTTTTAATTTCAATTAAATCAAACATAACCTTTTTTCGTGTCAAAAACGAAGAGTTCAATTTTAAATGAATGTCTTTCTAAAGGTCGATTTGATCGTTGTTAAAAATATAATGTGGATTGAGAGTGTGATTGCTGTTATGTAATTGATCTATAACATGTTGTTCAATCCATTTAGCAATATCGAATTCACCCTCTGTTGTATATTTTAGCTACGAGTTTTGCAACTCTTTGAGAAACAATATAATCTCACTTTCTGAAGGGGTGAACGCGATTAGTAAAACAGCTGAATAACCCATGAGATAAATTCTTCTGCTTTTTATCATTATCACTTTGTTAATTAATATCGTGAACGGTAATTTAAATTCCAAATACTTAGATGTCATTGAAGAGAATCACAAAAACAATTGGTGTTGGTGTTGGTGTGGGTGTGGATGTCTTCTCTTCATTGGCAGTCACACCCACATCTACACCCACACCCATCTATGAAAAACATCTAAGTAAATTTTGCAATGTATTTTTTTCAAACGTCGCATATTATGTTTATTGAGACAATTTCAACAACACATGTTTAAGAATATTCGATTACATGATAATATCGAGCATAATCTTATGTACAGAGTCCAAAATTAAATTCATATCTAGGCTCTAGCTCGTTCTGGATCTCCTCTTATTATTTTAGTGTAAATCATAGCTTGCATGAGAAGATTTATCGATAATAATAGTATGTGAGATGTAAATCGACAGCGAATCTGTCTAACATGATGGATTATCAACACCATGTTGATAACTTGACGGTGTTGATGACAAATGTATTTTCACGATGAGACCTTTAGTTTTTTTAACTATACAAATTAAGTACAGTTTTATTCAGAATATGAAAGAAAAATATTTTATATACAATTTCAAGGGTTTTCGAAAATATTCGACAGAAGAACAAAGAAAACAATGGTAGTTTTAGATAAAAAATAAAAGATAATCCGAACGTCGATATATGTTAACGGCAGAGAAACTTGACACTGTTTTTTATGACTGATGATTCAAGGTGGGAATGATAGACAATTGACGATGATCATGCGATTGATGAATACTCTTAAATCACATGTTGACCCAACCATTGATTCGACAATGATAGTAATGTCATACCAAAAATGTTCTCCAGAAACACTAGAGCACGTCTACGATGAGCAATGAATGGCTATGATCAATATCATATACGTTCATTTTCATTGGCCTGAAATAAGTATTGGATGATCTTTAACTAGCCCAACATTCCATGTCAAATGAATAACTTGAACGAGAGTTCTGTTCAACTATTTCATTCATTTGGTGCTAATGTAGGAGCTTCGATTGTAACCCATGCATTATAACACGGCTAATGAATTGTAAGAACACTTGAAGTATTTCCAATAGTTCTGTTCATTTATGTTTTCATCTCATTCTGACGTTTAATTCGAACCTCGTAACTCAACCTATGCATCAAAGAGCACATAAAAAATGAATGATTTACATAGTCAACATTTCATTCACATATTTTCGCTCATCAATACACAAGATAATTAATTGTTGAGTCGATAAAAGCTCACATACCAAATAAAACATTCTCACCATTGTTTTGTTCATTTATCTTTCAAGCTATAAAGTGAAGATGAAGTTTTTCTGATTGTAATCAATGATCGTGTACCGAATGTATATGTATTATCGGGATTCTGTTCACATAAGGTATTCAATTTGAACAAAAGGATCCAAGTTGTGTACGATCGAAAAAAATCTCATCGTATATAAAGTATCATTCGATAAAAATTTTGTTCAACTATCTTTGCAAATATCCTGATGAGTCATGTAAATCAATATGCTAGTTGAAGACAATAAGATTTATGGATCAATACAACACTTCTCAAGAACCTATTCGTCTATCTTATCAACTCATTTTGAATGAAGATGTACACGATTATCTGCTTACCAAAAGATTGCATAGTAGAGGAATTATCATGATCGTTATCTTTCCAATGTTCCTGTTCGATGCTCCTGTGTTTATCAAGACAGACACTCGGAGAATAGGTTGCTTTTAAAGATAACAAGGTGAATAATTGATCATAAGTCTCGTAATAGCCGTGTTTATTAATGGTACTCACTTTTTTTTCTTATATTATGTGCCCCCAAGTTAATCAAACTTCAGGTGGAAAATGAATCAGTCTGACCTTGGACGTTATGTTCACGTATATTACTTGCTACGATAGAAAATTTTCGATTGAAGAAGCCACTCGACAATCATACCGCAATCAAATCATCGTTATCCATTTCCAGTCTTTCGGATGACTATGTTCGTCTATTTTATGCACACAAAATTAGTAATTCTACAACCAAACTTACGGAAAATCATTTGTTGAATGGATGATCACTACTCCCTGTAGATTTTGTTGACCTATTTTATCTCCATTATAGTTACTGGTATGATTCAATGGTAAAATTATGCGCGTATGTCCATTGAATGAATACAATAGTACCAACAGTCGTATCCCTCTATTTCATGTACTTCAAAGCATAACGATATAGTTGTGAAGCATAAATAATACGATCTATCAAAGGAATTAATCAAATCAGTGTTCAATTCATTTATATTGATGTCAATATAAAATTTTGACACGTGATACATCTATAAATATCAGTTTCCATGAAAAATGAATGATCACGACGGCATTTGCCGCAATTGGCACAAACCTTCTATTCGAAAAATATGTTCACCGGAAACGAACTCGTTCTGGTTGCCCTAATGATTGCTGCTTTCGAATCATCGAATAATCTTTAGGATGGTGTTGTTCGCTTATTTTGGTTACCTCATAGCAGATTTAACAATTCTTGAGTAGAGTGATACTCATACAAGAAATGGCTAAATATAACGACCATTAATCTCCAGCTCACTTATATTATTTCCTACAAGTGACGACTTTATAATAGTCAAGTAATGAGAAATCATAAAATAGATGAATGCTCTAAACAATAGCTTTGTTCATCTACTTTTCTCTATTTGGATGAAATCATTTGAAATGTCGTGCAAACCAATGGTCACCTCAAAAATAAATCATTTTAAGACAATTTCTTCTTTGGGTCAAGTGTGGCGAATTCTTGGCTTTCTAAATAAAAGTTGTCATTATGTAAGTAATTTCGACAAAAACCTGATAGCTTCTTCTCTATCAAACAAGATGAATCATGCTGATTGCAATATTTATCAAACAAAGTCAATGTCTCCGTTCTGTCCTACAACTTTGTACATGTTAACCTTGAAATCTATGTTCAAGTACTAAATATCTCAGATCGATCAAACTTGAAAATAGAAACAATTCTACTTTTGTTTACTTCGATATGATCTAGTGATGTTCTTCATGGGCTACTATGACATACATATATAGATGTGCTGCTATTATCGCGAGTTCTCTTTAACAGTTCAGACAGTTCCACTCTACTTTGTACTTTAATCTAGTAGTGATGGGATTCAACGTGCAGTTTTTAATAGTCATTAATTGAGCTAACTTTCACACGAAAATTCACGACACTATTTTTATGTTTTTCTTATGCATTGTTTTTATTATGAAATGCCATTATGCTGCCTATTTACTTAAGTTTTATCGATCAGATGCAGATATACATGAGAGAGTAGCTCAAGTGGTTAAATAGTAGACTTTAGGTTTCAATACTATGATATTCGTATCGATTTGGAATCGATTGTTCGAAGGGTGTAGACGATGTGGGTGTGAGATGGCTTCACTCCTCTCTCAGATAGCTATACCCAAATCTCTCTCTTCATTGTAATGAAAAATGTATCCAATATGCCTCTTTTGAGTCTTGTTATACAATCATCGAAACATAGATTTATCTCTATAAGTACAAGTGCATTGAGAAGAAAAAAATCGATTAATGTATGGTAGAGTTTTAGTTACAAACCTACAAATTAAAATGCCATTAAAATACGATGGCAAATTCGAGTCCTTCACTCGTAAAGTCTTTTTAGAATGGACGTGAGCTCACACCCTAGAGTGCGTCTCTATTTAAAAAAACTTTTCTTTACCCGATGTTAATTTAAAAAAAAATCTCTGTTAGATTCGATTCTGTGAATACTTATTTATGTGCTACTAAACCTAGTGCAGATACTTCTCTCAAGAACGAAGCTAAGAAGAATGAAGAAATTATACTCACTTTTTGGGTTGATGGATACGGCAGCAAAAGCACCTGGTAATTCTACTTCTTCTTCTTTTGAAATTGCAATATTTTGTTTAACTGGTGTTTGTTTAGGTGTTGTTGGCACCGTGGAATCGGATGTCTCCGATGGTGTCGTTGTAAAAGGTGGTTCAAGGTATGGTCGTGGTGGTGCCGTTTCTCGTAAATGTATAATATATAAGTCCTTAGCCGGACTCGATTTACCGACAACACGAAAGTAAGTGCCGGGGAGAAGAAGGATTTCGTTCTCTTCGCTATAATGTGAATGAGCTCGGATCGCTTTACCATTATTACATTCAATGGTGAATAATGTTCGTACACCAGACTTTCCAACAAATCGTTCCGTTACGTCCAAACTCTCCGTACATGAACTAAATCCCCACCAGACTATGTCATCGTCATATTGACCGCTTAAATTGCCACGAACTCCCCTCCATACGATGGTCTTCAGCGATGGCAATTTGAATAACGCTGTGAGAACCAATTTCAGGTAACGGAACCACGGTCTCAGTGGTTCCCGTCGTTTTGAACGAAGTACACTATTGAGCTTAGTGTACAGACTTACACTTGGCTCTTCCCACTGTATCGTATAAAGATGAATGGCAGCCGATTCGTTAGGAGTAAGTCCATTTAACGGCTTTTTTGAGTTTTGTTTAGCCGTGTCCACCATTATATCGAGGTCATCGAGTTGTTCATTGATTGGTTTCAAAGCCTCTTCAAGTGACAGCAGTGGTTCCTTCGCATAGCCACGAATAGGCAGCAGAACCTGATGAGGTTCCTCGCTAGCGTCAAGAAATCTGGAATTTGAATTTTGGTTCGTTGCACTAGCCATCAGTGTGCATTAAATTTAAAAAAAAAATGACGGCAACTTACATACTCAGTGTTACCTTTATATTTGTGTTGATTCTACCATAATAACATTGTTATAACAACTCGGAAGAAAAGAAAAGAAAGCGCATAAACACGAATGCGAAACAGAAAAAAAACACGCAAGTCGACGCAGCTGGTCACAGTGTATTAAATTGTATAGTCTCGACTACTCTCTATCCTTGTTCTTCTAAACAGAATCGAAAAAAAACGATAAGAAGCACAACCCTCAACCTGTTGCAATGATGAAAAGAACAAAAAACAGGCAATTGGAGACTGTTTCGTTACTAACACCCTAACCAAACAATGTAGATTTCACAATTGCAAAAAATAACACGTGACAATGACAGTCAAGTTATGGATAATTTCTTTTTTATGTAAGAGAGGGTGTGGGTGCGAGGACCGGTGAGTAAAGAAGAACTGCATGCACACCTCCCAAACTCACATCCACATCAACATCCACACCCCACACTCCGTAAATTACACCATAGAAAAAAATACGAAAACTAGATCATTTTATAATCAAAACTTGTTTTTCTTTATAGAATTGAGGCAGATTTCATTGTTATCAATAGTACAAATAAGCAGAAAATGGGACTAGTGTACGACGTTAAAATGAAAAGGATCTGTATAAACTCCGTAAAGAAAAATAAGTTTTATGAAATTAGCTATTTTTGATGTTTTTTCTATAGCGTAATTTATGTCGAAATTTTGAGACTTAGTATTTTTTAATATTTCCTCAACGCAACATCCAGTTATCTCAAAATTTGGAGATAATATACCTGATAGATAGGAACTAATGAAGCTAAGGCATATAATTGAAACTTTTCCCATACTTCGATTTTTCATGAAATGATACAGTCAGCTTCAGAAACATTTTGAGCCCTCAAGCATTAGGAAAACATTATTTTTTTTTAAAGAAAAATATGTCATCCCATAGAGACGAATCCAAGGAATAAGTTTTCATGAACAAAATTATTTTCAAAGGCTTTATAAGAGTAGGTGACTCGGTAAGAACTATCTTTTTCGCTGACATTGAGATAGCTGGAAAAACCAATTTTCTCAAATTTTGAAATTTTTATAACTCGATCAAAGAATATCTGATTCACAAAATATTTTAAGTCTAGACCTTTGAAGAGTTGACCCTACAAACTGACAAAATTTGAGGGTATGTTAGGAGGTACTGCCCATTTCAAAATAAAAGGCGGGTAGGTATTTTTGAATAACGTTTGATAGGAAAATGATAGAGAGCCGCAGTTTTCACCGTTGGAAAGAGCAGATGAAAACACATCAAACCATATAAGACAATGACTTTTAACTGGGACTTTTGAAACTTTTTACAACAATTGAACAAAGAAATGCCTTGAAAACAGCTGTCATTTCCCCAGGAAAAACCCAAAAAACGGAGTTGTTTTTCTACAGAAATTGCTGACAAAGTGGACTAGAATTGTCGAATAAAATACTTAGAACTTCCAAACCAGTAAAGCTTTGAATAATAGCCTTATGTATAGTTTTGTAACACGTCAGTTGGCGATTTTAGTCCACTCCTCAAAGTTTAAGATTTGTTTTATCTTCATAGGCAAATAGTCTACTCTTACAAAATGACTATGAATCACTACTTATTTATGAAAAAATCTCAATAATTTTATATGAATCGATGCACTGGATCAGCCACCTTTCCAACGGTGAAAACCGCAGCTTTCCATCTTGTTCCTATCAAAAGTTATTCAAAAAAAACCTATCCACCTTTTATTTTGAAATGGGCAATACTCCTCTTTAAGACTAATATAAAAGTTCACGTAAATTGCTAGTCTTAATGATTTTGGCTTAATTACGTATCATCGATATTTTTATTTTCCGTTAAAGAACAAAATTCAAATGATGACGAACAACTGTAAAGTTATAAAAAATAGTTTTCAAGTCATTGATAGTTAAGAAAATTGTATCAGATTTATATTTTCTAGTTGGCACGTCAATAATCATGTCAGTTATGCATTCATGCTAGTCGGTATCATTTGGATGAGTTTCTCGAATAAAGCATTAGCCTATTTCACCTATCGCTTAGTCTATTGCTCGGAATATTCTTCGTTTTTATTGATTCATCAAATCTCTTTATCGTCGATGTATGAACCGAATACAGTAAAAAGTTCGATTGAGATACTCGATTTAATATTTTTTTCGAAAAATAATCATAAGACAATAAAAGGTCAAAAGCGATTTGTGTTTACTATTGGTGTAACCTGGTTGTTGTTATTTATTAGAAAACCAAATGCTAAATTGAAACACTTGACAACACTTTGTCGAAGATTTGGTGTAATACGAAAGAAAATGATAATCACACAAGCTAATGCTAGATTTCCAATCATGAATATAACCCGCATACAATTATGAGGTAAAAGATCGGAACGAATTATGCTCACTATCATAATAAGCAATGCCGGAATGCCAACAATAGCCAATTGGAAATTTATCAATACAATGCGATGTACCATTGTTAAGTCTAGATGCATTTTTAACTGTTGATTACCATCAATTTTTGATGAAACTTGACGTACATACCTCACTAAAAGACGATATATGACAGCAAGAACAATATCTGATAAAATATATATGGTCACACCCGTATAAAGTAAAAGATCTAATCTTGATAATGAAATAAAACATAAATTGTCGATGATCATTTTCACCATATTACCTGTTAGAAAAATAGGTAGAGTAAAAGTAAAATCAAATATCCATTGAATAAGAACAATGCCCATTTTTCGAATTTGACTATTAAGAAACATTATTCTTCTAACCTTTAAATATTTTTCTAGTGCTTGTAGAATAAGTGAATGATGAATACAAGCAATACTACAATAATGAATATAGGCACGTAATGAACAAAGAGAATCAATTTTTGGTACTGATTGTTGATCAAAATTTAACATATAGACAGCAATTGCTAGATGATCAGACGAATATATTAAAATGGCTAGAATAGTATTGCAAACTAATAGTGTAGGAAAGTTAAAACATAGTCTTCTATAAATAATAACTATTGTCAGAGAACCAAAGGCTAGTAGACAAGTAAAACAACAAACGACTATATATATTCGATCGATGATTGAAGGAAAATCCATCTTGCTACAGACTCAAACTTTTTGATAGTTCGAATCAAGAAAATTCAACCGAAGATACTTATTTGAAAACACTATATTATCTGGATGGATAGAATCAGGAAAAACAGATGAAGTACTTTGTTTTTAAATCTATAGAAAAAAAAAGAGTAGTAGCTGCTGTTGTAAGAAAAAAAATAAAAAAATAAAACTCATAGTGTTCTTCTTACCAAAGAATGATTCGCTCTTTGTAGAAAAAAATAATGATACACTTTGCGCTTTACAAATGAATGGTTCATTTATTTCATTTTGAAATCAAAGATAATACTGCCTTTCATCTTGAATACAGTCGATATGTCATAATATCAAGAAAAAATAAAAAGAGCCTTAATGACAATATAACATACAACGAGAATCTGTTAAAACATCTTTTTTCTTTTTGTCCTTGACAACGTTCAGGAAAGATTATTTAAAACATCGATGTTTTATTTGCCTTTATGTTAGAGTCTTCTTATAGAATCTTCAATATTTTTCTTACAACAACATTCATTTATTCGAATTCATGGAGTAAATTTCTCAGTTTATGTAATCAAAGAGATGCTGAATATAGTTTTTGTATTTCACTGAAATCAAGATTGAATTAATCTATCTAGAAATGTACGATTCTTCTCTGAGTTTTGTTCGTTATTCATTACATAAATATGTTTGTTTTGACCGTCAAGTATGCACCGAATTACATGATGTATATTGTCTGTTCCAGTTCCATAGTGTATTTCTCTCCAATTTCCATGTTAACAAGTAAACGCTAAAAATGGTGTTTCAATGCGTTCAGATAAAAGGAGTGCATTATAACTCATTCATATGATGAATGAAAAAATTTAACTGGTAAAAATGGGTTTCTTCTTATAGAAACAAGTTTTAACGCATTTATCAAGTGTAAAGTGATGATTTGAAGCGTTTTAATGTATTTGTATATAGGAATCCAAATAACCGTTAAAACACATTTAATATATTTTTATCTGTTAACAACGTGTTTCAATGATTAGACCCTATATTCTATAATGTAATATTCTCTTTCTCGTAGAGAAGAGTCTTGCAAACATAAATTGTCTGATTGCTTGCTTGTGTGTCCGCACTTTACTGATTGGTCGAATAACGATCTCGACACAAAAAGGGTTCTTTCAAATAAAATTCAACCAAAGGTAATCGAGGTCGAAGAATTCGAATCTGAGGCCAGTTTTTTGAAATTTTTTTGTGGATCATTTTTTTACATAAAGTACCACTTTTTTACGAAAAAGAAATTGTTTTATAAAGTTTGACCAAAGGTTTTTGAGGTCGGGGAATCGATTGGTACCGTTAGTTTGTGATAATTTTGTTGAACTAGTTTTTCTTGGTAGAAAAGGCGTTTCTAGTAAAGAAAATTTTTTTTAGAAAGTTTGACCAAAGGTTTTCGAAGTCGAGAAATCTTTCAACATGAAAATTCTACAACTCCAGCCTTTTCTTGCTGAAGATGCTGAACTGAAACGTCTTGATGAACTTAATAGGAACACACACCGACAGTGCACTTTCTTTGATTTTTGAAATTATATGAGTAGTTTGCTGAATAGTTCAGAAAAACCATTTCTACGAGAAAGAGCTGAGCGAGTCCTTGGACGAGCGTTACTTTTTTTTTATTGGAATTTATTCTTACAAGAAAGATAATGTCAGAGAACAACTAAAAAAAAGCGAAAACTTGCAAAACTTCTATCCTTTTCAAATGCAGGTGTTTTCAATGTATTTATTTTTTTTCTTCAATAGTGGAAGCCAAAACAAAAGATATATATACAGGATGATAGAGCTTTTCAAGCTCTATCAGAATATATATTTAGTTTTTTAAAAAGCTACTTCTACAGTGATGAAAGATTTAAAAGATTAATTGGCAAGAAGATGGGGAAAAAAATCTGTGGGAATCTGACGATGAGGGTGCCTTCATTGTACTCGATTTATTTTGCAGCAAATAGGTCGCAAGTTAGAATGTAAATATACAGGGTGATGCAGAACTCCAAGCGCTTCCAGAATATGTAATCGGTTTAAAGAAAATATTGTTTTATAGTGACAATATAAGTCAAATACGGACTAAAGCTATTTTTTTCCAGGGGTATATATATATATGTAAATAACAACGTGTCATGTGGCAAACATAAAACATATTTCTTACTGACCTGCTAAAA